AGGCAGAGAAACTCTTTCGAGGTCTCATTTTACTCGTGACACACTGCTCTTCTGCTCGCTCCTATCCATACATGGTATCTCTACAATATGACAGACCTGAGGATTTTTCTCTTTTTCATGACCGTACCGTGGATAATTTGTGAAACAGCTAAAACGAATAAAGTGGTGCCGAGACACAAAGGAATACTGAAAGTAGACACTGATGAAGAAGTTAACTCCGGGAGTAAAGCTGTCATGGAAGTCAAGAAATCAAAGGTACAGCAATTTGATAACGAATAAGGAAATTTGCAAAAATTTTGATTATAGAATTGTGTTTAGCATATTAACCAGTTTTGATAGTTAAAACAAATATTACAATTGCAAGATATCGTAAATCTGTTCCAAGAAAGGTATGCAGTGGAAAACCTGGTAAATCCATAATGGGATCATGTCCAATATAAGAAAAAAAAAAACATCAGCATATTATCTGGGAGTTTACAAACTCACTAAATGCTAAAATACTGTAGCATGTAAACCAGATGATTATGGGAGAAAACCAATTAAAATTGCCTTTTGATCTCAAATACCATAGAAAAAGGTTATTCTCAGTCAAGACTACGACAATCCGGCTGATAAAGATGTTGAAATTCCAGGAGCAGACCCTAAAGACGATGAAGGTATTTATTAGTTACTTTTTACTTTTGATTTGATTCAAATAGCATTCAAGCCTTTTTTTACTCTGTTTTTCAGACCTTCCGACTTGCCTGATGTGTGTGTGTCTAACGGGGTCAGTGTATTGCGAGGACGTTTCTCCAGACATGACAACAGTTCCCGCACTGCCACAGGAGACGGCTTACCTCTATGCACGCTTTAATAAAATCACAAAAATAACCAATAAAGACTTTGCTAATATTGGTAAGGGGTGTAAGAACAGCTGTTATGTGTGGTCAGCACAAACTTAATTTATAGTTATTGGAATCAGATCAAAGTAATAAAGGTAAAACCTACATTGAGATTTAAATGTAAGTATCTTTAAGTCTTATGAGATAAATCTAAAAGAGCTTTAATTAATCATTTACTCAACCTCATGTTTTTAAATGCTTGTGACTTTTTCACTGGACATTTGAACTCCATTTTGACATCTTTAAAATCTTTTTTATGTTCCACTTGTTACTTTCGCTTGAACTGTCATTTAAAGACATTACAAATTCATTAGCCTTTTCAAAAGATACACGTTTGTATACTGAAACAGTTAATGTATGTATTGGTTCCTAAAGTGTACATTTTAGTACTTAAACGTACAAAACTGTACCTTTTGAAAAGGAACCCCCAGTGACAGTTGTTAATGAGTGCAGTTAATGGAAAAACAAACTGAAATTGTGTAACCTATTGATTTTTTTAATGCTTAAACTCACTTCATTTTTATAGAAAACAAAGCTTAATCTTAATTTTAGGATATTTTAGCCTACTTGGATAACAAATACACTGATAAATATTTCCTTTTTGCAGTGCATGCATCATTTAATGTCGTGACCTTGTTAATGTAAGACTTTCTGCTCTGATTTAACACATTTTTAAAAATTTAGGCTCGTGCAAAGACTAAAAATCCCTTTAAGACCTGCAGAAACCCCAAACTTATCAATACATTAACCCATACCTGTCAACATTGGCATGTGAAAATAGGGGATATTCCCCCCTAATAAATTCCCAAATTAGTAAATATGTTTATTAGGAGCTGTTTTATTGTAAAAAAAAAAAACTGTTAAATTGTCAGTAATATGTTTTATTATTATTATTATTTACAACAGAAAATAATAATTATTTTACATATAATTATTACAATTATTATTATATTAATTACAAAAAAATATAGTATATATTAGCAGCAAATAAATTAGCAAACAGTTCAGCTTATTAAAATTAATAGCTATTATAATGACATAGAATCAAGTTATCAAATCTCATTATCCGTTTTTTCACTGTATAACTTACATTTTGATTGAAGAGCAACGACAGAGATCGACAGCTTTATATTAATAAATATATGTCTGTTTAAACACACACCCAAAACCCAGACCTTCACTCCGCTTCAAATCTTGTGAACAGAATCCGTTTGGGAAACAGCGTCTATTTATCACTATGGAGCGGGTCTGACAGTCATGCACCGCTATATGGCTGTTTTGAGGATTGCATATAAAGGGGAGGGAATCCCACCATTTTTATATTTACTTCAAACTGTTTTCATGCCTGAACAAAGTGAAAGCACAGAACAGACTCACATTTAAGAGCAAGGGGCGGCCCCTGGTGGTTCGACGGTATAGGTTGCGTATAGGTAGGCTCGGCTCTTAAATGTTTATTTGGCACCCTTCAGAAAAAGAGGGGAAAAATACGGAAAAATACCTTTACGGGATAATAGCGGAATAGAACTGTAAAATATGGGAGAATCCCAGTAAAAACGGGAGGGTTGACAAGTATGCATTAACCTCAAGACAAAAAAAGTTGGTTAAAGCCAGTTTCATAAAGATATGTTTGTATCTACAAGTAAATGAGGAAAGAATTTTGGTAAAGGTTTAATCAAGTTAAAAATCAAGTTACAGCACCTGTAGCAATATCCAGATGTGTAAATATACCTAATATGTCCATATAATCTTATTTCACAGCCACACTGAAAAGAATTGACCTCTCCGGCAACCTGATCTCAGAAATAGAAGATGGAGCCTTTTCCAAACTCAGTCATCTCGAAGAACTAACACTCGCTGGGAACAAGCTGGTCAAGCTGCCGATGCTGCCCGCGAATCTCCTGTCTCTCGATGTCAATCACAATTTACTCAAAACTAAAGGAGTCAAAGCTAACATTTTCAAGGTAAAAAATGAACTAAAGAAAACATCAAAAATGATATCGACAGATTTTGGTCTTGCTCATAATTTCTGGCCTCCATTTTTGCATTAGAAGCTGATCAAGCTAGCATACCTGTACCTTGGAGACAACGGGCTAGAAGCCATCCCGCCGCTGCCCGAAAGTCTGCGTGTGGTTCATCTACATGTACGCTCATAATAAAATGCTATTACCACATACTGCGCAAATAATTCACATACTTATGCATAATTGCACAATTATTTTTTTCAGAACAACAACATAACATCACTGACAGACGACACGTTCTGCAAAGGGAACAGCACGCACTACATCAGGCACAACATGCAGGAGGTGCGGCTGGATGGAAATCCCATAACACTAGCTCAACATCCCAACAGCTTCATCTGTCTGAGAGCGCTGCCCATTGGACACTACAAGTAATCCGCTGAGAAGAAAATGTTCCTTTAGCTCTCATCCAACTGGCAAAGCTGCATTCACACAGATTTAACAGCTTAACGCATTCTTGCATTTAGACTTTTAAGATCATTTGTAAGAAACATATACAGGAAATAACATTTTTTTATTGACTTTTCTAAAGTGTAACCATTTTGTTATATCTTTTTTTAATGTTTTTTAATGCAAGTAAAAGTTGCAAAACAAGACTGTGGTGAAACCTTAAAGCTAAGAAGAATGTCTGCAAATGGGAAAGCAATACTGAGTGGAAACTTTACTGATATCCAATGCTGGTAAATCATTTTTACAGATTTTTGCTGGAGTCTCTTTGACTTATTTACAGATGGCACAAGCACTTATTAAATTGGTTATAATGGTTTTTAGCATATCATAACGAGGATTTTTCTTATTCACATAGTCTAACAGGCCTGTAGCCAGCCTATAGTGAAAGGGTTGGTTCTTTTTTTTCTCTCAAAAATTTGACCTTTTTGCAGTTATTTGACTCATTTTCTGTTTTAAATAGTGCAATTTCAGCACATTTGTTGTGTTGAATTAACTTGTGAGATAGTCACACTTTTTGAAATGCCAAAAACATTTTCTAAAGATTTAGAATAAAGAAATATGAAGAGGCTACTTATTTTAGGCTACTTTATGGTATATGACCAGGGGAAAAATAGCCAACTGTTAAAGTTTTACATTTGAAACTGTAGCCTTTTGTTATAATAGGCAAATAAACTATTGTTATAAATTGTTTGGCAAATAACCACCTGGCCAGCACATTCAATTTTCATCAGTCACACAATTTTACCATTTAAATAACAACAACAACAACAAAAAAAAAACATTGTAATAATTTTGTAAAGATTCACGATTTGTCCTAGTTTCTCGTCAAAAAGTACATTTAAAAACTCTTGGATAACAACAATAGCCAAATAAGTATTAATATAGGCCACTTTTGGTGTTTCACATCTTTTTATTGATAATTTATTCTGTCAAGAATAACGTCCAAGATTTAGAATAAAAGTTAATCATAAAATGTTTTCTCTAAAACAACAATACAGTGAAAGCTGACTTTAGGTGCATCGGATTCTGCTTGGTCTTAAATCCTTTTTCAAAGGTTTATTTTGATAACTAATGATGATAAAGAGTCAAAATAGGAAGAGTGTGCTCATGTATAGGACAACTAATGAACCTTTGTCAGTGGTGGGGTTGGGTCTGTCGAACCACCTGAGTGCCCCTGTCTATGGGCCTGTCTAATAAAAAGATCGTTGATTCGGAATTTCTCTTTTTTTAAGGGATACTAAATCTTAATCTTTTTAATTTTTTTCAAACATTTTTTTGTAATACTAAATAATTAAATGCAGGTTTATTGTTATTATGAGTAATCAATAAGACATGTGAAATCCTAACTTCTAGTTTCTTTCAAAATACTGACTAAATCAGATCATTTTATTGAAATACTAAGCTGATTAGATTTTCTTCTTTTGACAATCGATTATAATTACATTTTCTCATAACTATTATTATTATCATTAGATAGAGGCATAGCAGCGTCCCCTTCACTTTTAGAGGCAGACCATTTAGAAACATGAGATTAAGAATATAAACTTTTGGATTACATAAAGCTGTCCCCCCACCTTTAAAATGTTCACTATGCCCCTGTTAGATACAAAGCTATAATTATAACTTTTATGAGAAGCTAAGTCAATAATACGGTATATTATATCCTTTTTTTTTTAAGTCATGTAATGATTGTGATCATTATATAACTAATGTTTCCAATATTACAATACAAATTCATTATTATGATCAAAAGATATAGCATATTTTGTCATTATTATACCTTTTTTCTCATTATGAGATGCTAAGTCACAATCTTACAAAATCATATGGTGCAAATGACTTTCATTTTTATTCACAATCACAAAGCTGCCAAAATCAGTTTTATTATAAACATATTTCTCACGTAGACAACACACAAATCCCCACCATCCTCAGAAACACACTGTGACAATCTTTTGCACCTCATCTGTGTTCTTGTCTGCAGTCCATGTCACAGCTGCCTTCCAGCTGATGGCCAACATATTCCAGTGTCCAGTGAACTGGTTTCAGCCTCTTCATGGAGATGTTGTGATGCTGTCATTTGGCTTGAGAGTCTGTGAGCATAATCAAGCCCTCTTCAGTTTTTTGCTGATACGCTCGCTCTGACTGCTTTCTTCTGTACACGTCATCTGTGGAGACACAATACACTCATCATACTAATCCACCAACAATAAATACAGAATTAAAAGTAAATTATCTTAACATAAATATTATGAAGCATTATGAGGCTTCAGCACCATTGTAGCTCCCTTATGATTGACGATACATATTAAAATGTTCTTGTACTATAAAATACAGCAGTCAAAAAACTGTTTTCGTGCACATGGCAATTTAAAAGTGTGTGTTTCAATCTAGTGTCAGGAAAACATCCAAAATACATTTCTAAGCATTTCTTTGTCTCGCTTTATTAATTTGTGTATGCAGATTTTAAGTACAATTCATATTTTAAAATGCTCTTTTCTCAAAATGCATATTTACCAGAAATTTCATAGGGTTGGGCGATATGGCAAAAATGCAATCTCGATAATTATTTTCCGTACTGAATGATAATGATATATATGGGGATATCTGTTGTTAGGCCCTCACAGTGGCGCAGTGGGTAGCACAATTGCTTCACAGGCAAAAGGTTGCTGGTTTGAGACTCAGCTGGGTCAGTTGGCATTTCTGTGTGGAGTTTGCATATTTCCTCCGGGTGCTCTGATTTTTTTGAGTTGGGTATGCTAAATTGTCCGTAGTGTATGAGTGTATATGGATGTTGCTACTGGAAGGGCATCTGGTGCGTAAAACATATGCTGGAAAGTTGGCGCTTCATTCCGCTGTGGCAACTGCAGATCAATAAAGGGACTAAGCTGAAAAGAAAATGAATGAATAAATGAATGAATATCATGCCAATATTAAATGGATATATTCGGACAACACATTTTTGGTGGCCAAATATTCGGTACATCTCTAAAATCAACACACTCTTAAGATTCCCATTGTTGCACATTTCTGCTGTTTAATTGGCTCTTAGATCAATATAGAGTAAATAAGTCCAGAGCTTATCATTGTTATTGACATCAATTTTATCAATGATTCGATATAATATAGTTTATCGGCCCAGCCCTTAAATATCCTCTTGTACTTTCTAATATAATATTATTGTACTAATATAATATTTTCTGAATTATGAAGAAAGAATAAAACCTTTGATTGCAATTAGTAAAAATAAAGTTTTAAAATCAGACTTTATGCAGATAATGATGATGTACTATTTGCGTATTTAAACAACACTTTAGACAACTTCTTTAATCCTAAACGTAATCAAGTGGGAAGGTAATGTTATGTTGAAAATGTTTTCCCCTCAGTGTCTTGTGCAGTTAAAATGATCAGCTATGCGTAAAGAGGACGCAGAAACTATTGAAATGGATTATCTAGCATGCACACATAACGCGTGACTTAGCATACTCACAAAACGTTTCTCTTCCTATTCTGACATTGATCATGATCCACTCCATGACGCCGCCGATACAGAAGAACACGGGCAGAAATCTGTACACCCCAAAGCGTTTTTTTCCAGGTACTAGACTTAACATGTATTTCAGGTTCTGACTTTTCCTTAACATGTTTTCTGTCAAAAACAAAACTTCCTGCTTGACAAAAACTGAAACACTGCGCAATAATGTGCGCTATTATAAATGGGTTTTAATCTGAACAAACATCTGATCAGCTGTGTCCTTCAGCACTGATCTTGCGCATGCTGCCGCTGTGATGACAAAACAGGAAAACATGGCGACGTATACGTCACTGACGGAGCGTTTTTAATAGGTCTGCTGGTAGGACACTTATGGCAAGCCGCTTTCACATTTAACATATAACCCGTACTAGTACGTATTATTTTTTTAGATACTATTATCTAAAGTACTATTGTACTTATTTATTTTATACTAGTGCTTATTCGTAGTAGACACTAGTTCTTTTTATTAGATGCTGCTGCTTGTTTATTGGATACTGCTAATACCAGCGGCACCCTATTAGATTTTTTATTATATACTAATATTATATAATAAAACTTTATTAGATACTAGTACTTAATCTTTAGATACTAGCAATAATTTTAATAGTTACTAGTAACTATTCTGTTGGTACTAGTAACATTTTTTCCCATTAATTTAGTATTTATTAAATAGGTACTAGTATCCAATTAATAAGTACTACTACCTAATGATTTCCTACTAGAACATAAAAATATGTACTAGTCCCAACTGGCATACAGACTAGCCAAAACTGAATAGTTGATAACTGAATGACAGATCTCATAAAAATCAATGGAAAACTTTTTTTGTTACTAGCAGCAACAGAACAGTTACTAGTCACTATTAAAATAAGTACTAGTATCTATTTAATACAGGGGTGTCCAAACGCGGTCCAGGAGGGCCAGTGTCCTGCATAGTTTAGCTCCAACTTCCTTCAGGACACCTGCTTGATTAGCTGCTTCAGGTGTGTTTAACTGGGGCTGGAACTAAAATATGCAGGACACTGGCCCTCCAGGATCAAGTTTGGACACCCCTGATTTAATAGTATCTAATGAATAAGTACTAGCATCTATTAAAAAAAACTAGTGTCTAATAAGTAAGCACTACTATATTTTTAAAAAGCACTAGTATCTAATGTAGAAACACTAGTATCTAATGAATAAGTACTAGTAACATGAAAAAAGATAATAGTACGAGCTACTAATTAAATGTCAAAATGGCTTGCCATAGGACGCTACCAAGTCTGACATAAGAGCAGGCAGTTGCCCTTTTATAAAGTCCCTGTCATACAGTCTGACATTGCTCAATGGAGAAAAAAATGATCAAATATTTAACACTCACACATGAACACTCTGTCTAGCACAATTTTTTTAAGAGACCACTTGAAAATTATTTTGTGTGTGTGGATATATTAGATTAGGTGTAAGTTTATGTGATGATAATATTTGTTTTATTCTATAAAAGGTCTACAACTGTAATACTAATTCTTCCACATTTCAAACTGGTCAGACCCAGATGTTTTCATTTGCTGCAATGGGGTATGTGCACAGATAGTGTTTTTGTCAATGATGAACTTCTGGGTGTGGCACTTTTTGATAATAGAAATGGCCATAAAAGCTCACTAAACTGTATCGTACCACTCAGTGGAAACAAGCCATTTGTGACTACTTTCAATTTCTTAAGTTTCCTTTTACTGCATCAATGCTGTAATGAAATTCAAACATCATCAGTAAATAGACTTCAGCATCCATTTGCTTGTCAAAGCGTAAAAAGAGACAAAAGACTGTTTAAATGCAGGGGCTGTCATTAGCAGCAGGCTAGCACATAAACTCCATTGAAAATACTGGGGTAAAATTAATTTAATTCAATTTTTAAAAATGAATAAATAAAAATATCATTTAATCCAGTGCTTATTGTTTGGTCTGATACCCACTTTATATTGCATCTCAGCCAGGAAGTGAAATTCGCTGTTTTTTAAAGAAACCAGATCTCAAATGTGGTGATTTTTGTATGGGATGACAATTAACCGGAAGCCCTAGGGCTGGCTGACTGAAATTAAAAGTCTGTGTGCATATACCCCATTGAAAATCTAGAGATTATTCCACCAAACATTGATTGTTTAAACTCTTCTGAAATAAAAGAAAAAATCATTGCTAATAATCATTTCTGAAAACACTTGCACTTTTTCGCAAAAAACAAAGGAAATGTTTTCACAAGCACAAATCCTTAACGAAAGTTTGAAGTAAATAAATAAATGACTTCTCAATGGGTTTACATGATTTCTAGAAAAAACTACAATAAGAAGCGGCTCATTTTGTTTTCTTTTGAATTGCAACAAGCGATGAACAAATGAGTAATGTTCATTTTGATTTACAGCATGTGGACATTTAATACTTACAGAACGTGTTAGAAATACATGCACACTAACATCTTGATGTTGCACATAGTGTGTGCACAATGTTTGACAGAAGTCTGATCTGATGGAATGAATGAATTTCTGGGTGAAACCATCTTTTTTTACACAAGGGGTCAAGGGGTTCACAGATTTGTGAAATTGCATAATCTGAATATGCTTTTTTTCCTTATCCCATTTTGATGCTTTCAATTTTTGCGAATTATGAATTATATGGTATTCCACATGGCATGATGTGAACTTTACACTTCATTCCCTTTTTTCCTTTTCAATTGGTCTGAATTAACCAACACTGGAATGTCTACAGATTTAAACATGGCCTCGGACACAGCAGCAAGCACACATGAAAGCACATTCATGAACTGGTCAATCTTCTACTTTATACGCCAGCCTGCAGAAAGTCCAGTGATGCTCCACAGTGTTCTCATTGGCCCGTTCGCTCATGTGGTGCACCCGTGTGTTCCTGATGGTGAAGCCCTGTTTGGTGATGTAGTCCATGAGGTGCACCCGCAGAGACACCTCTTGGTGATAGTCACACGGTCCAAAGGTGAAGGACACCTGACAGTCTCTGGTGTCCATCATGTGCTTGTTCCATTTGGTGAAGTTGTTGGATATTCCTTCAAGCAGCGAGTGGACTTTGGTGGTTATGGTTAGCTGTGTGATGATGACCGCTACGGGATTGGAGTACTTGGACAGCTTGCGTGTGCTGGACAACTCCACCACCTGCTCGAAGGTGTCCAGCGGGTACAGAGGTTTCGGGTCATTGAGGCATTGGATTAAAGGCTCGATCTGATAGAAGTCTGCTTCTTTTCGCAGAAGGTCCAGCTCCGTGAAGTCTACAGGAAGAGTGAGCTCGGATGTGCGCAGGAAGTTCAATATATAGCGGAAAAGCGTCCCATCCCGATCAATGAAATAGTTTCCCTGAGCGTCCCGTGTAGTGGGGAAGTCACCACGAAACATGGCACCCAGCATGGAGTCTGGGTAACGCTGAAGAGTGGAGATGGAGGTGGTGTAGAGGTGTCCTCCAACATTTAAGGTGACTGGGTGAGTCAACTAGGAGAGATGGATACAAGTCAGAAAATACAGTGGAGAAGCTAAACGGTGTTTCATCAGGAACTTGACTAATCTGTGAAACTGATCTGTTAATACAGCAAACTAAAAAAAGTTGTTGTGTAAAGCCTGATCTGTACATCTGTGTAGAGTGATCACTGTACCCCACGAGTATTGATATGAGCATTTATACTTCTGCATTTTGTCTGTGCAGCTTTGGTGAAAACTCTTACGAAACACTGGCAGGCTGTAGGGTTTCTATGGTCCACTGTCTTGAGTCTTTGCTGGTGTTTTGGATTTAAAAAATAGGTGGGAACAAGCCACTGGAAAAAAACTTAAATCTCAACATAGATACAAAACTTAAAGTATCCTTCCAAAGCTCCTCTGCAGGATTTAACAGTTGTTAAACACTCGGACCATCGGCCTCACTCCACTCCTATGGCTTCCGGGTCAGCCCACACTCATCACCGCTAACTAGCTTACCAATCACAGATCTTGTGCTCTGTGTCAATGTGTAATAAAAAGCTTTTGAGAGGTGCACATCAGGGTACAGCAAAGGAAATGTGACTCTGTGAAGATGCTAACATGTGGTGAACTGTTTTACAAAAATTAAAATGATAATTTATTTGTAATTAACAACTTGTATTTACGTGTGTTTAGCACAGGTGAAGCCAAAATATTTTGATCGCCCTCTGGTGGCTGGCTGCAGTACAGATCATAAACTCCACCATCTCCATTTAAACAAAAACCAAAGTAAATTTAAAAAAATAAATTAACTTTGAATTACACTTTAATTAAATTCCGCAAGGTCCCTTTGATTTTATGTTGTTTGTTTAAACATTTAATACATTTGATTTTAGGGTATTTGATGCTAAAACAAAGGTGTGACAGGAGTAACTTAATGAACTGCAAGATGCACAAAACTGAAATCAACTAATTATTAATAGTATTGTACCCATTTTCAAAAGTGACATTTCTGTGCATTACTCATAACAGAATCTGGAATAGAAAATGTAGGAAATGGCTTTTTTAATCATGAGTTGGATTTTGAACCAAATTCCCCACAACCTACAAAAAGTAGAACTGGAAACATTTCTCTTATGGACAGGGGTGTGTTAAACATGTCAGTTTGGCATTTTGCTTGAAAGGTTAAAACACTGTTAAATTCTTGATGTTAGGAGGTTACTGTTAGAAGGTTAAACAGACAGATAAACTATGGAAATTTTGAAAATATGAATGGAAATTATAGCAAAACAATTTGACGTATTTATATTATATTACATTTTTTAGGGTTCTTAGGCTCCAGTGTGAATGTAAGTGGACAAAGATTAAGGTTGAACAAAAATAAAATGTATTTTTATCCATTTAAATAGTTTACAGAATTATTAAAAAACATCTGACTATTTACTTGCTAAAATACAGATTTAATTTTACATATATTGCAGATGTGATTGTATTGTAAGTAATAAAGGGTTGCTCGGCTTTTCACTTTTAAAATACTATTTTTACCGGATTTGACAAACATATTTAATTATTTTTCCATTGGAAAAAATACATCTGAAAAAAGTAAATAATGGGGAAAAAAAACAATTATATGTTTGACAATTCAGAAGCACAAAAATCAGAGTAGCCTAAAAAAACTTTTAAAATACAACTGCCTTGAACATTTTCAAATACATAAATAATAAAATTGTGTGTTGAACAAAAACACTAATTTACATTTATAATTGTATAGTTTAAATCTGCTCAATTCCTAAAATGAATGCAAGGGCAAGGCACAAAAATCTGGCTAATAAATCCTTCGCTCATAAAATAACTATGTCAAATATATTCCAGATACATACCTTATGTCCCCAGTCCCCATTATCCATTTCATAAGGGTAGGTTGTCCAGTCTGACCCACAGAAGAAAAACGGTTTTTATGCTCGACAAGACCTGTAAGAAAAGACTCTTATTAACCATATAACGTTGAAGTTATTTGAGGCACACAAAAACACAGAGCTCGCCTTCAATGTTTCAACACATTTGAAACAGCAATAACGCACACAGTAAGATGAACACAAAATGCATTAATGTGAGAGGACGCTCAATGATTTATAATAGATGCTCAATAGCATGCTAGCTCTTCAAGTCAGGCACCTGAACATGTTTACTGCAGAACTTAACGCAGAATGTTTCCTCGAAAGATGTTAAAAATGTTAAGCGATGGTGGTCGATAAAATACAACGTGAAACACACAACGTGATGTGTTTAATTTAAACGAAGCGACTTGACGACTAACCTTTGCTAGCCAGCTACCACAATATAAAGCTAGCTCCCTGCTAACTACTAAAGTGATATTACTGAATACAATCGTTTTTCTGAATGGCAGGCTGCATTATAAACCTGGAGTTTACCTGTCCTCTGGTTATGAAGGGTTTGATCTTGGGTTATGATGAGCTGCTGTACGGGACACTGACGAGTGTTAGCAGCAGCTCAAAGACGAGGCTCGAGCGAGCAGCCGCCGCACTCACGGTCACATGACCCACACTAGCGTACATCACTTCGCTGACAGCACATCACTACAGTCCCTGCATAAACAACACCACAGATTTGTGGTAAAGAAGCTTGTGCAAATAAGATAAATAAACTGTGAATTACAGCAATGCTGGATTTCCTGCTGAAGTTAGGGATAAAAGGTTGCTTTTACAAGCGACATAAATGAGGACAGAATATCAGGAATAAATAAGAACTCCACGCATTTTCCAAACATTGCAAATTGTATTTATTATTCTACAATTACATTTATATACTTATAAATTATAGTATACGTGTGTGTCATATCAAATAGGCGAAATGGCAGACTTTTTACTTGAAAATATAAGAACCAGTCTTTATTCCTTGAAATAAAAAGAAAAGCAAGCTATTACATTATTCATTTAATTTTAATTCTATTAAATAATATTTTATTGGACGTGTACCACATGGTTAAGAGACAGATTTATACTAAGAACCCACAGCATTTCTATCTGAATACATTTATTGGGTTTTATGTAAATTAATATGTGATTCTTCGTCCATATTGTGTGGGCAAAGCAGCCCTCAATCAATTAGACCATCCTGAATAATTATGCAAATTATAAAAAACAAAAAATAAAAAACGATCAGTCAATCCCCTTGGCCCAAAATAACATCACTCTTTGATTTAAAATGTAAGTCAAAAGTTATCCAAATCAGAATAAATTTCCTATAATGTATGGGTACTCAAACTTTATATACTTTTTTGTAATTTGCAATCAGTAGCAGGGTATACTTTTTAAATACTTGCTATTTATAATAAATAGTCTAAATTAAACATTTTAATTACCATTAATTTTAATATGAATAATATTACTTTGTATTAAATGAAAAAACTTAAAAGATTAAACCAATGATGCGTGTACTTAAAGGACAGTTCACAAAAAATAAAAATCTGTCATGACCTTTTTGATTTTCTTTCTTCTGTTGAACACAAAAGAGGATATTTTTAAAATGTTGAAATATATTTTATCATGCAGATATTTTAAAAGTCCTAAAGTTTTAAAAGCAAAATAAATGATGATGTAACTTTAATGTTTGGGTGAACTAGCCCTTAAAGGATTGTTGCTAGATTGGATATGGCTGCGGCCAGAAGTTAATGAGAATTATTTATATAATTTATAAAATTTTCCAATAAATTGTATTTTTTAACACCTACCCCCAACCCAACCCTAAACCCAACCGTCACAGTACTGTAAAAATATTAATTATTGTTATACAGCGTCATAAATAATGCTGCTATATTGATGTGCATTTCGCACTTCCGGCCGGTTGCGTATACGATCTAGACTTTACCTCTTTAAAGTAATGTTAATATTCTAATTGAAACATTTTAAACCTTTAATTCATCTCCACATGAAACAAAATACTACACTTTAAAATGTTTTATTAGTAAACATGTTTAAATGACATAAACTGAACTTCTGAATTTACTTTTGGCACATTTAGTTGAAAAAGAGATATAGTGCTGCATAGAAATTACAGGAGCCAGCAGAACTTACTGAGTCATAGCATAAAAAGACAGGGCTAAAGGGACTTAAACACAATAACTTAATCCACTACAGAATGTTACGTTTACACATGCCTGCACCAAATGCATGTAAACGCATCAGACGTTCACAGCGTAATACTCAATACTCACTACTCTTGAGTACTTTTTAAAGGGCTACTTTTTACTCATACTTTGAGTAATATTTACAACAGATACGTTTACTCTACTTTCACTACATTTTGGGGCAATTGATAGTAGTTTACACTTTCCACTGCACAGTCTCTCGCTACAGTATGTAACTTTTGGAACGCTAGTGGTTAATAAATAAAACTACACATTACACAACTACTAAAGCCAGAGCTAATTTTCTCTGTCATAGTAGAGGTACTGGATTTAAAGAGATAACATTCCAAAATAAATAAATAAAATAAAATAAAAATAAAACATTTAAGTAAATAAATAAATAAATAAATACAACATGTTCTCACCATTTACTCATACTTAATCCTTTAGGAAGTTGTTTCTTTAACAAAAAAAAACCCAAATAGGTTTGGAACAAGTGGGAGATGAGTAAAGGATGACAGAATTTTCGTTTTATGTGAACTGTCCCTTTAGCAACACAACCAATGTAATATAGTCCTACAATAAAGAATTACTAATTTTATTAGGCTAACTGTAACTGTGTGTATTAATTTAATTAGGCTTACTGAAGTGATTCAGGAGTTTTTTAAAGTGCTTATTCTATAAATACATTGTGTTCATTTTGTTTTAAATGGATCAAAAAACTTTGAAGGTGGACATACTGCGGAATTCTTGTATGAGTATTAGTTAGTATTCTTAGTTTATTACATACTTCTGAAAAAAGTATTATGCAGTATGTGTGGGATGGCAGATCTCAGGATTTCTTCTTCATGCTGACGCTCTCTGTGCCCTGCTGAGAGATGATGAAATCGAAAATGAGTTTGGCTGTTTGTCGCGGTCGCTCCATCACAACTGAATGACCGCAATTTTCCAGCAGATCAACACGACAGCCTGGAAGAGTCTCTGCGATCACTGCTGCCCCAGACACATCCACCACCTGACGGGACAGATAGGAATATCAGATTTGTTGTAAATAAATAAAACCATAAAAAAACATATGTGAATTAGAATATACAACTAATGTCATTCAATTACGTCATAGTTTACATATTTAAATAGTTTATATATTATATATTTGCACCAGACACTTTTGTACAAGCACTCAATATCTTTAGAAAAAAACATTGTGCATTTCTGAAGATTGCTTCACATAGGTGAGTGGGCTTGACAAACCACCTGTAGAAACGCTCACTCTCCATATGCACGAACACTTAAACTATCTTCAAACTTGAGTACCTCTTTTTAACAATGTCTTGCACAATATTGTTCTATGTAAAAGTACTTGTATAGTCTGTCTAAGGTTATGTGTATAGTTTAAGTATTTATAGTATATGTATAGTAAGTATAGTTAAATTACCGCTCCAGTATCTTGGTTATGTATAGGTTTAAAATAGCTCAGATGTCCAGTGTTGTGTTCATATTTATTAGTTGATTTATTTAGCACCGTGGCCTTGCAAGACACAACATTTCACAAAATTCCACTGAATGTCTACATATATGTAGCGGAATGAAAATAAACCTCAATTTGTCTTGACTTGAAAAAAATCTTGTCAGGTATATTTAGAAGAATAATCATTTAATAAATTATTACAAGGCAAAAGATCATGGTGCAGCTTTAAAAAAACAAATCTGCTGTCAATTTAAATGATTTATACTTTGCTGCTATTTTTCAGACCTCTAGGCTTCATACATATGCCATCAACACAATTTAATTATAATTTAAAATGTAATAACATTTAATTTGATTACTCATTAATTTCTATAGTTATAAATATTGGCCAGAATAAGTATGTAGCTTTGTTTACATAAATCATATATTTACAGGCAGAGCATCGCCTGGGATGAAACCCAGTTGATCTGTTGATGTCTATACGTTCCAGACTTCAGGCTGTAATTGACTGAAAAGGATTTACAACAAAGTATTTAAAAGTGAAAATTTGATTTTTGATTATTATTCTGTCCTATCATTTTTGGTCCCTTAACAAGTGGGAGGCACATATACAAACCGTTGTAATTCCCTAAAATTTAAGCTGACAGTCTGCAGTTCAAGCACATCTTGTTCGTTTCATTTAAAATCCATTGTGTTGGTGTATTGAGCCAAAAATGTTAGAATTGTGTCGATGTCCCAATATTTAATGCTGAATGACAATGGAACATTATTTCACCAATCATTTAACATTAAATTAAATGCAGTTTCCTTGTATTTAATGCTTTCTACATATATAAAAATCACTTTTATACATATATTTTGATGCAACCACCAAAAAGTCTGATATTTGACCCACATGTATGATTTTCTATGTTTACAGTATGCATGTTTACACATACCTGGTCCTGCTTGCCCCATATGACTTGTAAAGGGGTAATTATTTCCTGTAGATGCTCATGCAAAGCATATTTAGAATTTTCACTCATAATTTCCATGAACACTGTAATGGTTTAGAGAACAATTTAAGAACAATTAAGCAAAACATTTTTAATAAAACAAAAAAAAAAAGTAAGACTTTTTGTTATGATCTTCAGTAGTATATGTGTTCATACTGACCCTCATGATAAAAGTCATTGTGTGGTATTCGTACATCCACCAGGCCTTGGAGAATCTATAATCAAAGGCAAACATATCATTTTGTGTGTGACGCTGTGTTTTAAATCTATAATCTTAAATCACAGCAAGAAATAGTTTTTCACACTTAAATACAGTATATTACGAGTCAACAGCAGCAGAATATACAACCTTGTTTATCAGTGAGTGCTGTAGTCTTGTGTTGTTTTATCTACTTTAAAATCAGCCTGAAAGTCTTTTAAACTATATTGTTTCTCTTTGTCATGATCATAATTATTGTGGTGTGGCTATTCTTTAATATAGCTACGCAAGTCACAATGCGATCCTGAATTTTTGTTCCAAAATGTAACCCGTATGTATTCCCTCCCACTTAACCCAACCATAATTGTAAATTATTCCCAGAACCACAGGGCAATTATGTGGAAGTGCATTAACCTATTACGTAACCCTAAACTAAACATAAACGGTAAATGTATTCCTTTATTCTGATTGGCTAATTGAAATGTTGTTCCAGGATCAACATAGATTTTAATCTACAAACTTGAGCTACTTGGAGAAAACCCTCATCCAAGACAATGGCTACTGAAACTGAAAAATAACAAAACATATACAGGCAAAATAAAATTAATTTACGCATCTACTGATGATACATTGAGGTTTTATGAAGCAAAATGAACAGTTCAGTGCTGGAAACTAACCAATATTAACAACATTATTATTAATATTATTATAATATTATAAACATTATAAAAACATAATCTGTGAGGAAGCAGAATAAGTATTGTATTCATCATCAAAATGGCACTTTTTTAATAATAATAATAATAATAATATATATATATATATATATATATATATATATATATATATATATATATATGATCTCTATATTAAAGCCAATGTTTGACAATTTTTTTGCTCTTAAAGTGAGAGTTGGCAACATAAAATACAATAGATACTGAAATTTTATAACATCCATTTCCCACAAACGTTTGAGCTCTGTTGAGTTCTTAAGCAACCCTGATAGGCCGTTGTGCTCATGTGCTCAACAGATAAGAGTTAATAAAAGTGATTGGCTCTGAAGGGCATCGCTGTAACGCTGTTCACTAAGCATAAACACAGATACATTCTGACCATTCATATAAGACTGTACCAAACATGTCATGTTTACATTTAAAGCTTTTATTGAGATTTTAGATATGAAAGCTTTGAATGTCTGTCATCATAATTTTCTGAAGTCATTACCCTAAAAATTAGTGCAGTCAATCGATGAAAAAAAAACAACAAATAATCACACCTATTTTGCAATAAATCGCGATTAATCACATTTAAAAGGCTGAAATTTGTAATTTCGGCTATTCAAACGTAAAATTAATGTAAACCCAAGACAAAAAAAACTATTTAAATTTAAATTATAATTGTTTATTAGAATTTTTGTTTAACTTGTAACACAGATTTCTTCATGTAAACAACATACCCACAATAAACCATCAAGATCCTGGCTTGACAGCCATATTTATTACAGAAAAAAACAAGCATGTTAATGCCATTTGAATTTCAAAACAATCAATGCCAATAAAGAAAAAAAAATATTTCCATGTTGGATTCTAAGTGGACTGCAAAAAATGCCAAAATACAGGGATTGCAAAAATGGAAAATTATACTAAAGAATTGAATACAAACAATTGCACAAATAAAAAATTTGTATTGCGGATAGTTGAGAGCATTAATTATAAACAGTGGTGTAAAGTAACTAATTACAAATACTCAAATTACTGTAATTGAGTAGTTTTCCTCAGGAATTGTAATTTACTAAGTAGTTTTATAAATGTGTACTTTTACTCTTCATAGAGTAAATTTTTAGTGCAGTAATTGGTACTTTTACTCCACTACTTTCCTTCAACCTTTAGTCACTACTTTATTTTTCTTGTCTATGGGGATTAGAAATATCAGTCCTGTGATTCCTGTCCAATCAAATCGCACACAGAAGTAAAATCTCCACATAATGAGCTACCTCAAGACATGAGCGCTTTATGATCGCAGCAAACTGTTTGGAAGCATTAAAAGTGTCCAAGAAGATGTCCAAAATCATCACACGCATTGACCCAGAGGCTGTTTAGATGCATGTCACTGATAAGAAGATGACTGATGTTGACTGTGTGATGACTGTAATGGCCTTAAACAACCAGCAGGCACAGGACGTCAACATGACGTTAGAATGATGTTGTACCCTAGTGTCGTGGAGACGTTGCATTTTGTTTGGAAATGAAAAACATGTTGACGTCAGAACTCAAGGTCAGGCCAACTTCATATTTAAAACCCATCAAATATCAACATCTAATGACGTTACAGCTTGATGTTGTGAGGACGTTACCAGCATGATGTCTATCAGACATTGGATTTTGATTGCCATACCTGATGAATAAATGTCAGCATTTGACGTCAATATGACGTTGGTTTAAGATTTTGGCTCGACGTTGGATTTAGGTTACTTTCCAACACAACCTAAAGTCAACCAAATATCAACATCATTTGACGGCGTTATTGGACATCAACATAACGTTATCCTTAGACGCTGGCTAGACATTGAATTGTGGTCACCTGACATCACAACCTAAATCGAACCTAATATTAACGTCTTATGACCTTGTGTGCCTGATGGACAATAAGTAATTGCACTACAGAATGTTACGTTTACACACATAAACAAATTACATGTACACGCATCAGCTTTTAACAGAGTAATACTCACGACTCACTACTCTGAGTACTTTTGAAAGGTCTACTTTTTACTCATACTTTGAGTAATATTTACAACAGATACTTTTACTCTACTTATACTACATTTTTAGGCAAGTAATGGTACTTTTATTTAAGTATGATTTTTTAGTACTCTTTCCACCACTGATTATAAAGTACATTTTATAATCCTTTACATTCAGCCAGTTGCTAAGGCCCCGTTTACACTAGTGCGTTTTAGTTTGAAAACGCATAAGTTTTGCTACGGTTACGCCATCCGTCCACACTACGCCGGAGTTCTCGAGCGCCGAAAACGGAGCGTTTCGAAAACGCTGGAGAGGCCGTTTTCATTCTAAAACGGTGCAGCTCCGTCTCAGTGTGGATAGGGAAAGACGGAGACATCTGAAAACGGAGGCGGGGCTGCAAACGTTCGCCTATCTGATTGGGGCTTTTCCTCAATATTAAGTAGCCCACACACAGTTCAGTCTCGCATCCTCTTCTTGTAAGTTCAGACGTCGCAAGTTTGATCAAGGCTGCAGTCTCCCCCTTCTCAGTTTGATATGGAAAACATACCGAGGACACGGGTAAATCTTCAAAGGGAACAGTGTACTTTATAACTTCATTCACATCACCTTGGCTACGTTGTTTCACTTTCTCAACAATAAAATGTAAACATGATTTAAGGAACTGCCTATTTTCTTTTTAATATTAGCAACTTAACAGACAGCAGAAATGTTGAGGCGCCGTGCTGCATATATGTGCGTCATCTTCACTGTGTGCATATTTATAACAAAACGGAGCCGATAACAGATGCCTCCTTTCAGTGAAAATACGAAACGCACCCTCTCTTTTGCTGAATATCAGTTTTAATAATCGATAATTATAAAAGTATAACATACAATAAGTTTATACATTGTAGGAAATAAAGACGAGCGATCAGTCAATGTACCTGGATTAATCATTAACTTATCTTTGCGCTTAACCAAAACATGTTACCCGTGAACAAGTAACTTAATAGATTCCAATGACCAAAGTCAGGGAATTGGCCTATGTCGTTAGATAAAGACAACAACATGAATGAAATATCACGTTTAGCAAATATAGTGAGATTAGATCCAGCGGGAGATGCGTGATGAGCAGTCCGACAAGCAGAGCTCTCATCTGGGTAGAAATGCTGGAGCGCTTGCCCGAGTGTGTGTGTGTGTGTGTGTGTGGTCACGTGATGTGCGTTTTCAGCGTTTTGGTGTGGACGGAGAGCTGTTCAGAAACGCTGGGTAAAACGCGAGTGTGGACGCGGATCGTTTTCATTCTACAACGCCGTTTTAAAACTAAAACGCACTAATGTAAACGGGGCCTAAGATAGTCCAGTCTGTTGACATTATCGGGGGACAATATGGCTCTTTTCTTTTGAATGATGTGAGCTGAGAGTGAGAACAGTCTGTCACAAGCAAGATCACTGAATCAGCATTTGCATTTCGGTGCCTAATTTTGTTGCCACTGGTGCTGCGACATGGACGTAAGAAGCATCAAGCGATACATCAAAGGCACCCACAGGTACGCATTGTGTCACACAAAAGATTAATTCTTACAGGGACTTTGGTCACATCATCTCTAGACATTCAAACAACTATGAGGGATACTGACAGCAAAATCTGTGATGTTTAGCCATTTGTTCTTGTTGTTAGGAAACGCGCGTGTACACACACACACACACACACACACACACACACACACACACACACACACACACACACACACACACACACACACACACACACACACACACACACACACACACACACACACACACACACACACACACACACACACACACACACACACACACACACACACAACGCGCGCAGGACAGCATAGCTGAAGCGACTCCATTTAGATGCATTTCTTCCGGCATGTGGTTATAAATTCCATTAAAACAAAAGTCGAAAGATTAAAAATTAAACATACTAAATCAGATGAAACTCTGGAGGAAACGCTGGATAGCTTTGAAATGCAACATTAATTGTTTTATACTGAAACTTTCCTACTAAAAGTGCTTCCTTGATCTTATCCATATTTCTTTGCATGTTGAACACACGTCAACCACAACAGAAAAAAAAACTGCAACTGCATTCATTTTTTTAAACGCGTTAAATATATCAAATTAATCGCATGCGTTAACGCACTAATTTTGACAGCACTGCTAAAAATACAAGTTGCTAAACTGTCCTCGAGATTAAAGTTATGTCTTTGCTATCAGACAGTTGTGTTTTATAACAGCAACAACAGAAGGATGAATATTCAAAGGTAAAAATAGCAGGCGCTGAAATGAATGTGATCAATTTGACTGTTATGGCCACTCAAGTTAGAAATACACACTTTTGTGTTTTGTAGTTTCAAAATAATAATGTTAGAATGAAATATACACACATTTAGGAAAAAACAGTACTATAGTTATATAGGTTTCATTTTAACAAAGTTATTCAATTACAAGAGTCAAATTGACTGCCTCTCTAGTTCAAAATTTTAGCATGAAATAGACTTTTTCCAAGTCGCAATAGAATATTTTTGACAATAGATCTCCAAAAACAGAAATGTTCTGATAGTAAGTAAATTAGCAGCCATTTTTTTTTTATGTTTGCCCGATCCATCCATTTAACCCTGCATTAGACTTACCTGTTGAGGGACTCTGAAGCGCACGTGTGAACAGAGCTTCAGCATCTCCTCCATCTCCTCAGGAGTGGAGGGAATAAGTGGAATGTCGAGTGTGTAGTGGCTGTGCTCCACATCATGCATCTGACTGTCAAACTTGCTCTCGTTTTGGTTCTTCAGACCTTCAGCGGGAAAAAAAAAATGTGAGCATGTAGGAGTGTTATCTGTACAAATGCATCCATGCATAAATGTACTGACTGACCGGCAGGACAGATGAGGGTTAAACCACAGAGATCAGAGGGGTGACAGGCTGCATACACTCCTGCCACAGTGCCACCCATTGATGTGCCCACCAGGTGAAACGGCTTTCTGTTCAGTCGAATGGTCTCTACAAACTGAATGGTGTAAGAGTCAGGAGTATTCACTAATGAGGACAATATCAAGTTTAAATAAGTTAGATTTTTTAGATGAAATCATTTTAATCAATAAAGAGAGATTTAAGAAGTAGGCTTTGTAGAAATTTTTATATTTCTTTGATTAAAAAAAACATATATGGCCAGAATTGATTTTCAACTTATGAATGTAAAAAAAGGTGCTTACTTTGAAATGAAGTTGATTGACTTTTATTGGTAAGGTGTGTTTTAGGCTTTACAAATATCTTGAGTTGTTTAGTTTTTCTACATTCTACATTGATGATTGGAATTTTGTGGTTTGAATAGGTTTTCTTGTGCTAATCAATAGTACATTTATTTAAACAAAAATACAGTAAGAGTGAGACCAAATATTACAAACAAACAAACAATTCCAATTTTCAAGTTTTAATTTTGATCTTTTAAAATCTGTTAAAACATGCTGAGAGAGCAAGCCCTAATTTTTTTAGTGTCAATTATTTTAATAAGCTTGACCGGTGCTCAAGAAACATTTCAGTATTAATTCTGCAAAAGATTCTGCTGCATTCATTTCCGTGTGAAATTTGTGAAAGAGAACAGCTTTTATTTTAAATGTAATTTTCAATAATAAAAATAAGTAATATTGAATTTTTGGTTCCTGTTTACTAATGTAATAGATGCTTCACTAATAAAATAAAATGTCATTTTCCTCCCTGTTAATGAATTTTGAAGTGTATGTGTTTTTTTCTTCCCATAAATCTGCAATAACATGAAATATAAAGTACAAATTAAGCCTATATTAAAAACAAAAACATTTAAAACTATTCATGATTGTAATAGAGTGGAAAATTTTGTCTAAATTAATATAAAAATTCTCTTAGAATGTTTGGTTCTGTTAAACACAAAAGAAGACATACTGAAGACAGCCAGAAAATCTGTAACCAATGACTTCCACAATAGGAAAATCCAATACGATGGATGTCAGTGGTTACAGGTTTCCTGCTTTCTTCTTTTGTGTGTTTGCAACAAGTCAAAGGGTGAGTAAATGATGACAGAAATTTCATTTTTGGATGAACTATCCCTTTAAGTAATATACAACTTTAAGTATAAACAACTTAAGGATGTGGCATTTAAATAATAGTTTTAAAAGTAAAGGAATAAAATAACGATATGTAATTTATGTTTTATGTATCAAACATTCAGCCATTACCTGACGTATTCTCTTGACCTGGCCCTGGATTGAATAGTCGTCCGTGTTGGTACGTGTTGTGCCCTCATGTCCTGGCATGTCAACACACAGCAGATGCAGATGTTTGGGAAGGTACTGTTTAAGGTGAAAACACAAAGTGCTTGTAAAGAGCAATATGCAGGTGAAGTCAAAATTATTATAATTTTTTTTCTTTTTTAAATATTTCCCAAATTATGATTAACAGAGCAAGGAAATTTTCACAGTAATTTCTATAATGTTTTTTCTTCTGGAGAAAGTCTTATTTATTTGTTTTATTTCGGCTAGCATAAAAGCAGTTTTTAATTTTTGAAAAAAACATTTTAAGGTCAAAAGCACTAGTATTTTTTGATTGTCTACAGAACAAACCATCGTAACACTTTACTTTGATGGTCCATTTGAGTATTAGTAGCTTGTCTGCCTAATAGCTGCTGGCGTTAATAATTCTAATAATTCTGACTTTAACTTTACATGTTATTTTAATTTTCTAGCTTACGCCCAGTCAGTGTAATTATTCTATACCTTCAGCATGGGCAGCCACGTGTCTTTATGGGCCGAGAAGTCGTGCAGCATCAGTATAGAGGGTCTGAGGCCTGGTTTCCCTCTGTGTGAGTAACAGAAGCGATAACCAGCACAGTCTGCATAACGCACCTGCAGACCCAGAGTTCTCCGCCAGTACCTGCGCATATGGCACAATAATACATAAGACTCAGATGTGCACTCAGTTTAATGTGCATTATTGCAAAACTGTAAATGAAGAGAGAGAGAATGTTGGAAATGGAATGGTTAAATGGTTTTGGAAACACATAAAAATATCCTTATCCTTTTAAAGCCCTCAAAAACCAAGAAATAGACATAAAAAAAGATTATATATATATATATATATATATATATATATATAAATATTATATATATATATAAATAAATATATATAATATATATATATGTATATGTATAAATATATATTATATATAAATAGACATAAAAAAAACCTGATTCAGATGGTCCTGAAACACAAACCAACACAACAAATATGGCTAACGGTAGGCAGCATCAGGACACAGACATGCTCATCTACAGAATTAAACCCAATCAAATAATAAATGCACGAAAAGAAAAGTATCTGTTTTCCAGCTGCTTCATTCCACTAAATCAAAGTAAACTTCAAAGTTATTTAGACCTAAATAGAGATTATACCACATCAACATATCTGAGTGCAGTAAAGGACAGTAAATTAAGAACAACAATGACCAAAACAGGCTGCAGGGTGCTCACAGTCTGACTGTAGAGACGGGTTGATACAGACAACCCAGAGAGAGCCGCATCTGTCCACACTGTGCCCAGGCAGAGATGGAGACGGAGGAACACTTCCTCACCCGCTGCACAAACTATCAGCACATCCGAGAAACATTCCATCCTAAACTACAGAGCATTTACCCACAATTCACTGAGTTTAACAATAAAACACAGCTTCAGTATTTACTAGGGGAAAAAACTGACTGTGTCCTTCTAGTGGCGCAATACATTAACGCCTGTCACAAAGAGAGAGAGAGAGAGAGGAGACCAACACACACACACACACACACACACACACACACACACACACACACACATACACACACATATATATATATATATATATATATATATATAGCAATCTGATATGAAGTAATATACGCATATGGTGTTTAGAAATGGTATTTACCAGTAATAGACTTTGATGAGTGATGATGGCCACAGCATAAAGGAGGCCATGAAGAGGAGCAGAGGAATAGCAAGAGTCCCTACAGCAATGGCAAACATATTCACCATATCCTGATCCATTCCTGCTGCTTTCATGTAGCAAACAACCTGCAAAACAAGTACCACGACAGCAGACATTACAAACGAATAAAGAAAACTTAAAAACACCTAAAAATTAAATGCATAAAAGCAGTGAGGATGGGGGAGGGGCGGGCGGCCAGCATCTGTTTGTGTCTAATCAATACTTATAACCTAGATAACTCAGTGTGCTTAAAATACTCAGTTAACCATCATATCATGCCTTCACTTCAGTTTGACTGCGTATAAAATGCGTAAATAATGATTTTGTTCATTCTGAAATGTACAACTACATCTTAATATTGCAAATACGACGACTAAACCTTTCAATTGGCATTGCACGAGTAAAAATCATTAAAATAATAACAACTCCCCAATGACTCAAACAGATTGGGAACAGTTTGAGAGCAGTGAACTTACTTCAAAAGGTTAATCCGACATTGACGTCACTCACTGAGGTCAGCTGTAATCAAGCGGTCTCAAAGGACAGATCCTGAAAAGTCCAGTTTGTTCATCATCCTCATACTGTAGATCTGTTTAACTTAATTAAAGTCCATGTCAGCATGTCTGCTCATCCCAATAAACACTGACGTGACATGCAGAAAAAACTGTGCGGCGATCACGTGATCTCAAGAAATCAATCAGTTCAGGTGGAAAATACGATATTCCTGTTACTCAGAATAAAATTCACAAATAAAAACGGAGTGAAATAGTATTGAAATCTACATTTTAATAAATATATTTTTTTAATAGAATGAAAACCCCCAAAAAATCCCTAAGTTTTATACATCATATGCAAGTTAGGCCTGATTTTCTTTAGATATCACATTCAACATCAATTTACTTTCATTTATACTTGCCATATTTTTGTTTATGTTATGCATTGTTACTTATATATTTATAAACATTAAATCCATATAAAGGCTTAAATACATTGAGACAATTTGCATTTTTACTTGTTACATTTATGTTTGTTGCATTATGTTGCTTACATGTTACATAAATATAAAAATCCATATAAGGCATAAATACATTAGACTGTTTTATCACAAAAATAAAAATAAAAATAAAGAAACAGTTGCTGAAAATAATTTACTTTAAAAAATGACAATGCACAGAAATATACTATGCCAATTGAGTAAAATATGCTTGAAATGTTGTTTTTAATTTAAAGTTTTAGTAATATTGGTGGTTATTGTTTAATTTTTGTTGTTTTTTTTAAACATGTCTGTTTTGTCTATATACAAATGGAGTAAAATCAGGCTATCATTAAATATCTCTTTAAATAATAAAAAAAATGAAGAGATTGTTTTTTATTTTAAAGTTAAGATAGACAATAGTTTGGAGAATATAAAATGTACAGTACTATTCAAAAGGATAATATATTTATTCAGCAAGGATACATGAATTTTTTTTAAATCAAATCAGTGCATTTCTTGTTCTTTCTATAAAAAAATATTACAATTTCTACCAAAATATTAGAGCACAAATTTTACCATTAAACACAGGAAGAAATATTTTTGGGGCATCAATTCAATAAATTAGAATGGCTTCTAAAGGATCATGTGACACACATACAAAAAAGAAAATTAAGATTTGCATCAGAGGAATAAATGCATTTTAAAAACATCCAAATAGCTAACAGTTACTTTAAAAGGTGCCTATTTTACTCTTTTACAAGATGTAAAATAAGCCTTTGGTGTCTCCAGAATGTGTCTAAATTTTCCAATAGTATCTGGATGCAGCATTTATGATGCAAGCTGAGATTGCATCGCTCAGCGATGCAATGTTAGACACAATGCACTCAATGGAGTGAGTGACGTCACTGTGATGGGTAGGGTTAGGGGTGGGGTTAGGTAAGCGCATTAAAAAGCATTGGATACAACTCAGATTGCACTGCACCGAGTCTGCAGCCAGCAGATTGTGCCCATTTTGGTGTCATTTTGGTGTAAACAGTAGCTGTTATGTAGCCTGTGGCTTTAATTGCAAATGAGCTGCTTCTCTCCGCCCACCGTTCCCACGTGGGTGTCTGCTTCTCAACATTATGTCAGATAAACAGCACAGTGACAGACTCAGACCCGTTTACACTAATACGTTTTAGTTTTAAACCGAATACGTTTTGCTACGGTTACACCATCCGTCCAGTGTGGATTGCGTTTTGAGCACCAAAAATGAAGCTTTTTAAAAACTCTGCTGCTCCGTGTTGGTGTGGATAGGGGAAAACAGAGACATCTGAAAACGGAGGCGGGGCTGCAGATGTTCGGGACGTTTTCCTCAATATTAAGTAGCCTACACACAATTCAGTTTTGCATCCTCTTATGTAAAGTTCAGACTTAAAATCAGGGAAAAGTGTACAACCTCTATAACCTCTATTAACTCATCCAGGGTTGGTAGCAATAAAATGAAACATGATAGAATGAACTGCCAACAGATACCAAAAATGTTGAGGTGTCATGTAGCTGCATATTTATATGAGCGTCATCTTCACTGTGTGCATATTCATAACAAAACAGAGCCTATAATATTATCGTCTTCTTTCATTTTTAGTGAAAATACGAAACACACCCTCGCTTTTGCTGAATATCAGTTTTGATAATCAATAATGGTTATTAAAAGTATAATGTACAATAAGTTTATACAATTTAGGAAATAAGGCAAGTAGTCAGTCAAATGTGCAGAATCATGTGGTTACATTAATTAATATATTAACTTATCGTTGCGCTGCATTTTCAGAGGTGTAGTGTGTTCAGCTGTTCAGAATTGCTAGGTGAAACACTAGTGTGGACGGGGATCAATTTCATTCTAAAAAACAGTTTTAAAGCTAAAATGTATTAGTGTAAACATACTAAAATGTATTAGTGGCATCACACAAATGCCATTTGCAGCACCACGTGACACCATGTGGCTGTGGTTAATAAGCGGTCTTTAATACAAACATGTTCTGTTTTAAAAAAGTTTTAAACTTATAAAACTTCACAGAGTTGTAACAAATATTTTAATCTCAGTTTATTTGCAAAATAATGTTCTGTGGACATGTGTTTACAAGTTATTATAGAATCATGGTGTCTGTCAATCAATTCAGTGGGCGGGAAAACAACACTCCTACGTCACGTTGCGGTGGGCCTCAAAATCACTAGGATTTGGGTCCATTAAAAAAAAAAAAAAAAAAAAACTTGTTGGGTTAATATCACTCCAATATTACAATGGACACACTATATCTACACACAGTTCTGTCCAAACAGCTTACAAAAGCTGATTTTCATCATAGGTGCCCTTTAATTTGTAATAATGTTTCACAAACTTACTGCTTACTGCATAAGAGACTTCTTTCAAAAACACTCATTTGAATAATGTATATACACAAACTAGCACACACGTAAGCGCACGCACGCACGCACGCACGCACGCACGCACGCACACACGTGAATGTACTTCACACAACACTAATGTAAAACGGCGATCCAGGAATGTGCTCATCTCCCCACTTCACTGCTAAGACATATTTTCCTCTTTCCTTTACAGCGTAGTTGATCCTGTACTGACACTGGCCCATGTGAATGATGGACACCCGCTCACAGGGAACTGTAGGGCCATGCATGCCCACGAACAGAAGGTTTCGTCCTACAACACAAAACACACAGACATTTCTTCAGCATTCCTTCAGTGAAACAAATTACTTACAGTAACATTCCCGCTAATGTCACGGCGCACTCACCAGCTTTACTGCAGTCCACATAAAAAGTGTTTTTGCGTCCCAGAAAGCCCTTACTCAGGCCTGGGCCGTGGCAGATGACTTTACTAGCGTCAGACAGCAAAACTGGCTCAGCACTGCTGTCAGATGTTGTGTTGATCTGCGGTCCTGACAGAGAGGCTTCTCCATGACCGTTACACAGCTGAGTTTGATCTGCCGGCGCACAAGAAGAATTATAGCCTGAGAAAGAAAGTATACAGTCCAATATCTCCTAAACAAATCTTTAATAGACTGATAATTCATACCAGAGACAGCAGTGTCTGTGGCGGCAATGACAGACACAAGAAAAGGGCTTTGGGAAACATGATCCTCATTAAACATGACTGAAACCTCATAGTCACCTGTAGGGGAACAGATTCTGTAAATATGTTCATAAATAGGAAATAAAATATTGTTTTTAATCAATATGCTTTATCACTCTGTCTCCTCTTACTCTTGGTTGAAATCAGGTTATATAGTTCATAATAAATAAAATATGAAAAAATACACAAAAGCACGCACATCACTATAAATGGGTGCTCAGCCAAACAGCAAAAACTGCAAAATTATATATAAAAAGAAGGCAACACCAAAGCTCCAAAAAATACCAACTTATTAATTTAAAAAGTCTAAACCAGAGATGCCCAAACTAGCGGCTGTGAGCCAAAGTTGGCCTATGATAACCTTTGACTTGGCCCTCCATCCTATCTGAGAAGACAGGAAGAATGATAAGGATTATTGATTATTAACTGAAATTAAGCTTCAATTAAATTATGTAAATGAATCAGATTTAGTTTAAATGTACACACTGTCGGACAGAGGACAAATCAAGACAAAGTCAGATTCTGCTTGACTGGTGAACTCCAGTTAAATGTGACGGTTAATGGTTTCATAGCAGTAGGTTATCATCTTAAATGTTGTACTGCATTAATTAGTACAATTTAAAGTAACATTTTCTAATAAATTAGGAAATTACCCATGGCAACTTTAATGTAATATAGTTTATTTACCTTTAGCCCACTGCTCTTAATGATATTTGGTTTTTGGCCCTTTACACGAAAAATTTTGGGCACCCCTGGTCTAAACAAAGTTTGTTTTAGCCTTTTTCATTTAATATACAATAAAATATATTAAAAAATTATAAAAACAATAAACAAATATCTTAACATATGACCAAATAATTTAGTATACTGTTCTTAATGTTTATCATATTTTATACAAATACATACCATCACACAAATAAATGAACAGACCCTTTAACAGACTTTAAAACCCTTCTCAAACCTTTTGTCCATAGGTTATCACTAAAACAAAAACTAAGTTTTCTTAGAGTGGTGCCAAGTGCACAATTTAACCAAGAAATGGGTCAAAAAAATCTTTCAGAGCAAGTTAAAAGTTTAAAAGTATGTTTATGTGTGTGTAAAGAAAAAGAGAGAGTGTGAGCGAGAGAGAGAAAAAGAAAGAGGGAGAGAGATGCACCAATTTTATATTCCTTATTTATTGAAATATTCATGTTCAACTATATACAGTGCTCAGCATATATAAGTACACCCCTCACAAATAAATTCTTTACATTTATATTTTTAATTGGAAACTACACAATATTATATTTGTGCATATGCATTAGATTAGTCAGTAATCAAGCCTAATCTGGAGTTTATCTCTTAAAATAACTTATGATAACGGTCCAAAAACTAGTACACCCAAATTTATGTTATAGAAAATATTAAATACAAAGTTAAAAAAAGAGGAAAAATCAAGAGAAGCAAAAAAAAAAAAAAAAAAAAAAGTGGAAAAAATCATTCATCATTTTCAAATCATTCAAATCTTTCAATTTCTAAATATATTTGGTGACTAAACTATTATTTTAATAAATATAT